GCGTGGGGGCCGGCTGGCCCCAGTGCCCAGCCCTGGGTAGCCAAAGCTCCCCAAGCCCAGGGAACTCCCAGAGCAGATGGGGACCCCTCCGGCACTGAGGGCGCTCCCCACGGCTGCAGATGCTGAGGAACCCACGGTGGTGTTCTGGGGGAAGGAGCTGAGGATGGGGCCAGGCAGGATCACCACGACGGGTGGGGGCCGGATCACCACGGTGGAGTCCTGGCACTGCCTGACACAGGGCTCGTTGCAGCTGTTGGCCAGAGGGGTTGGGCCACAGGAGGTGGGAGGACACTGGTCATAGCAGGACATGGCTGTGGGACAGAGGAATATCTGAAATACAAGGAAGAAAGGACAAGCTACATGAAGAGCATTAGTAGCGGTCAGGTAAGAGGAAAACACCTGTGGAAGTCCCTAGAGAAGGTGGTCAGAGAGGGGTCATAAAATCACAGCCTGGTTTGGATTGGAAAGGACCTTAAAGATCATTCAGTCCCACACCCTGTGTGGTCAGGGACACCTGGAAGAGAGAGATTGAGCTTGAACATTGGAAGGAAATTCTTTGCTGTGAGGGTGGTGAGACCCTGGGCCAGGTTGGCCAGGGAAGCTGTGGCTGCCCCATCCCTGGGGGTGTTGAAGGGCAGGTTGGATGGGGCTTGGAGCAGCCTGGGCTGCTGGGAGGTGTCCCTGCCCATGCAGGGGGGTTGGATCTAGATGAGTTTTAAGGTCTTTCCAACCCAACCCATCCCATGCTTCTATGACTAGCTACTCCCTTAGCATTGGTCTCCAAAACCCAGCATGAAGCTGCTTGTTTTGAGAGTCAATATTGCCAGAATCCTGAGTCCTGTCTCATCACACCCTCCTCCACAAATAAAGCTTTTCTTTTGGGTAGAAAGAAATCTTCCTAATTTTCCTTCCCAGAAGGAAAATTCTAGCAACATTTATAAAGAACTAAGTAATAACAACAACAAGAAGAAATAAGCAGTCATCAAAGTAACAGTTTAGCATTTAAAAAGACACTGGGGAGGTTCAGACTTACCTGTTCACCTGAGCAAATCAGGCAAGAGAAGTGGATGGAAAAGTCTAGTGGTGCAAAGACTTTTATACCATTTTCCAGACTGCCTGCAGACCAGAGAGATATTATGCATGGAATTCTTTAATGATCAGTATTTTTGCATGCAAAAGTCAGCAAACTGATCAGCCCTATTTTTATTTATTTTTAAAATTCTTCTTCTTTCAGGATTGCTCTGTTTTTCTCTCCTCCCCTCATTACAGCCACATTCCAGCACAGGCAAAGCTTTCATCTTCCCCAATGTGCTCCCACTTAATTGCTTGGAAGACTGTGGTGACTCTTTGGAATTGCAGCACTAATTATGTTGCCTCCTAAGGCCAATGTACATTTTAGGTTTCATTTTAGTCATCAGGACACTGCTTAAGGGGAGTGTGTGTGATGGAGAAACCTTGGTCAAGACTTCACTCCTACAGGTGAATAATCATTTTACTCTGACGTGGGGATCTGGGCTCCATTCACAACCATTTCCATTTCAAGGACTCAGCTTTTGCCACAAGACAAACCCTTTAATAGGCACCCCCAAATTTTGCACTCCTGCACTATTTCAAGCCCACACAAACACAGGCCTGAGAAGAGTTCCAGATTGCCAGGACTATTGCAAAGGTTACAGAAGATGAGGCCTGGTGAGAAGTGCTGACCAGAGACACCAAAACACCTCCTGCAAGTGCTGGGGCAAACCCAGAGCTTCCCAGTTTGTGTGAATCCAGCTGCTACAAACACACTGCAGACTTCATTTCTCTACACAATTCTAAACTTTACCTTCATTTTCCATCCCAAAGTCAAACAATCACACTTTTCATGAAAAAGCTTGATTAATTGAGCTTATTACTTTTACTACTTACTATTTTACATTTATTATTAAATTAATATTATATTTGGGTTCTGAGCAACCTGGGCTGATGGGAGGTGTCTCAGGGGGGGCTGGAACTAGATGATCTTTAAGGTCCCTCCCAGCACAAACCATCCCATGATTCTCTGATTCCATGTCTTTAGATATAGGTTGGTCTTGGTCTTCAGAAGAACGAAGGACTTCAAAGCTCAGAACAGCTCAGAACATACAAAGTTTCACCCTCCTTAATGTTCAAGGTACATGACAAGATCTCAGCATCACCTGATTAATAAACCTCATTTCAAAAGATGTGAGTCAAGATCACTTCAAGAACTTCACAAACTCATTCCAGGCAAACACCTTCAGAAACTCTAATTATTTTATTCAAAATGTTGATGATTTATGAAAAAAAAAAAAAATAAAGCTAAACCTTCATCTTCTGTAAAATCCTGCAACTCCACATCTTTATTGGTTCTCCACCAGAAAATTCTCCTCTCTTTTTCTATAAAGAAGGTGTTTTTCTCTGCTTTCCCCAAATCTCTACTATCCAATCTGCTACTTTTAATTGCTTTTAAAGAGAATTTCCTTTCAACAGGTGAAAATTATCACTCATTTCCCTTTCACCTGTAGAGTGAGATAACCAAAAACATGCTGACTTTTCCTCATTCCTTCCTTTAGGGACACAAACAGGTTTTCTTGGAGGGTACTGAATATTTTAGAGACTCATCAACAGCCTGGAAGTGTCTTCATTGATATTCTGCCAATTCAGTCTAATTAGTACCTGGAGTTCACCCCAAAACTTTGGGGGTTTTTTTGCTTTATGGGGATTGTTAAGGCTGGTGAACCAGGATGAGCAGCTCTCCCTTATGGATCAATAATAGAATTTCCCATTCCACACACTGAATTAAAACCCTTGGTGGGACTGTTGAGTTCCATGCCAGGCTGCTGAGCCACCAAATTGCCAAAGAGGTGACCAATTTCTGACAGGACTTGAAATTTGTATCATCTTTTTGTTGACTTCAGAGGCCTGAGTGTGAGTACAGGGCATTCAAATGATCCCCAGGTCTTTGGAATGAAAGGAGCTTTGAGGAAGACTTTGCATCTGCTGGCAGGGTGAGTCCAGACTGGTCCATCCACCAGAAGATATTTATTTACTGGGAATTAATTTACAATTAACCTACTGGGGACAATTTAACCAGCTGCAACAGAATTGTTTTTTTTCCTTTTATTTCATAGAATCATATAATCATTGGATGGGTTGTGTTGGGAGGGACCTTCAGATCATCTAGATCCAACCCCCTGCATGAGCAGGGACACCTCCCAGCAGCCCAGGCTGCTCCAAGCCCCATCCAACCTGCCCTTCAACACCCCCAGGGATGGGGCAGCCACAGCTTCCCTGGCCAACCTGGCCCAGGCTCTCCCCACCCTCACACTCCACAATTCCCTCCTCATGTGCAACCTCAAGCTCTCTCTTTTCATCCATCCCTCTCATCCCATCCCTCCCTGCCCTTGTCCCAGTTATTTGAATGCTCAAACCTTCCCAACATTAAAACCTCTTCAATTTCCCCCCAAATTCTATCCTTTCAGCAGCCTCAGTGGCTGTTACAAACCAGCTGGAAATTGCAGGCCCTGACTTTGTGCAAAACCCATTTCCTGGAAAGGATTTCTAAAGCTTTCACTGTGTCCTGTGTTTATTTTCTGTTCCAATGCTTCCCTGACATGAGCTCTTGGCTGGAATTCTGCAGAGCTGCAGCCAGGGCAGTAAAGACAGCCAGGATTTTAAGGAGCCATAAAACACACAGTACTTAGGCAGTAAATAAGTAAATAGAGCCCCCCTCTCTGTCCCAAAAATCCATGTGTATTCCTCCCCTCAGACTTCTGCTGCCCCTGCATGTTTTGTTGCACAAATCCAAATGTTCAAGCAGTGATTGGATGGTCAAAGAATGCAAATGCAGCTGCAACCTGCAGCTCCAGGTCAGGGTTACTGAGAGCCTGAATCACAACAGGATTCCTTGAAACTAACATTAAGTGCCAGATGAAATTCCTTGCCACTCTGTTGGATCATTCAATGCTTCCAGCCTTGAGAATAATTTCTTGGCCAGAGGTGCAGAAGAGCAAGACTTATGATCAGCCAATGTGGAATCAACAAGCATTTCATCTGCAAAATTAAATGTTTTCTGGATCTTGGGATCTAAACACACGTTCTCCTCTTATTCATGGTCTCAGTTGTGTTCATGTCCCTGCCTGGCAGTGATGATCAACTCGGTGATGAATTTTCACCCAGAAACAGTTTCCAAAGAATCATTTGGGTTGGAAGGACCTTAAAGATCATCAAGAAGGGAAAGGGAAAAAATACCAGAAGACTGGAAGTCTGAGAAAAGCACCACTTTAATAATACTAAAGAGTGGACTAAAATATTGCAAAGCAACAGGTTTCTATATGGGAAGAATGACACATCTCATGGTGATGTAGCCCAAAGACAGAGCTCTTCTTCCAGTGGAGCATTGCACCTGGACAAACAAGTCCCATCTACTGTCTAAATGATAAGTTAGAAACATAAAGAAGTAAAACAAGAGTAGGGACCTCATTTTAGGGGATGACTAACTCCCCCAGCTCCACGGGCTTCAGGGGGAGGTGTGGGGATCTGACAGGGCTTCTGAAGGCCATGGCCATGAGCTCAGTCCTGCAGGGGGTCGTGCTTCAGCGTTCCTGGGGTGGGTTCCTGGCTGCTCCTCAGGCTTCAGCAGGGCCCGTAGAAGCCGCTGCGCTGGGAGCTGTAGCGGCGGTAGGGCCGGCTGGCCCCAGCCGGCCTGGCCCCAGTGCCCAGCCCTGGGTAGCCAAAGCTCCCCAAGCCCAGGGAGTTCCCAGAGCAGATGGGAACTCCCTCAGCACTGAGTGCGCTCCCCACGGCTGCAGATGCTGAGGAACCCACGGTGGTGTTCTGGGGGAAGGAGCTGAGGATGGGGCCAGGCAGGGTCACCACCACGGGAGAAGGTTGGATCACCACGGTGGAGTCCTGGCACTGCCTGACACAGGGCTCGTTGCAGCTGTTGGCCAGAGGGGTTGGGCCACAGGAGGTGGAAGGACACCGGTCATAGCAGGACATGGCTGTGGGACAGTGGAACTAAGCCTGAAACACAGGACCAGAAGTGAATCATACCATAGAATCATGGGAAGGTTTGGAGTTTGAAGGAACCTTAAAGATCATCCAGATCCAACCTCCCTGCATGGGCAGGGACACCTCCCACCAGCCCAGGCTGCTCCAAGCCCCATCCAACCTGCCCTTCAACACCCCCAGGGATGGGGCAGCCACAGCTTCTCTGGGCAACCTGGCCCAGGGTCTCACCACCCTCAGAGTGAACAACTTCCTCCTAATGTCTAATCTAAATCTCCCTCTTCTAGCTTTAATCCTTCACCCTTTGTCCCATCCCTCCCTGCCCTTGTTAAATGTCCCCCCCAGATTTCCTGGAGGCCCTTCAGATGCTGGAAGGTGCTCTAACTTCTCCCTGCAGCCTTCTCTTCTTTACTGCACTTACTCAGCTCAGGTATCAGGAAACCAGGAGCTTTCCAGGGATCCTTCTAGGAGCTGAGTAGGGAGTGAATGAGTTGAAAAGGAAACCAAATTCTTAAAAATGCTCCAAGAAGATGGAGGCTGCCGCAATCCTCCCTCAGATGTTGGTGATCCAGTAGAACAGCTGGCAGCAGAACAAAAGGACCCAAGTCTGCATCATCACTTTAATGCTAGGATTTTGATGGGGTGCATGTCTGGAAAGACACTGAGCTCCAGCTCCAGGTACTCAGAGCACTGTAGGAGCAGTAATTATGTGTAATTGCCAGCCACAAAGGTACTGATGGACAGAGTCCAACAGACAGCTGGGAAATGAAAGGGAGAATTATTCTCCAAGTTCCAACTTCACCTACCACGAGATACAAATTTCAATCTAGTTAAGCATCCTGGAAGCTGAGGCCTTTGGAAATCTTTTCCAGACAGCCAGGAGTTTTTTTCCATGAGAAAGCAAAGAGTTCCCTGCAGGCTCCCTAGGGCTGCTCTGCTGCCAACACCCCAGAAACCACCAACTTTGCTGTTTCCTGTGCTCATCTCAGCCCCTGAAACAAGTTCCCTAAACGTGCAGGAGATCTCATTGCAGCCTGGAACTTCATTGCAAAATTTGGCAGCTACAAGACACCAAACAGAACGTTTGAGGAACCTGTTCTAGTGGGAGGTGTCCTGCCCATGCAGGGGGGTGGAACTAGATGGTCTTTAAGGTCTTTTCCAACTCAAACCAGTCTGGGACTCTATCTCTAGCATATTGAAGTCCATGTGGTTTCTCTAGAAGGTTGAGGGTGAGTGATTAGAGCTTTGCTGAACTGGGACTGCTCCTTCTGTCTTCATTTAGAAAGTGGTATTTACAGCTCACGAGCTTGTGGTTTGACATAATTGATTTGCAAACCCCACAAACCTCTGCTTTAAGCCTCCCTAGTTTCCTTGCTCTCCAGCTGTTCCTTTTACCAGCCACAAAGGTACTGATGGACAGAGTCCAACAGACAGCTGGGAAATGAAAGGGAGAATTATTCTCCAAGTTCCAACTTCACCTACCACGAGATACAAATTTCAATCTAGTTAAGCATCTTGGAAGCTGAGGCCTTTGGAAATCTCTTCCAGACAGCCGGGAGTTTTTTTCCATGAGAAAGCAAGGAGTTCCCTGCAGGCTCCCTAGGGCTGCTCTGCTGCCAACACCCCAGAAACCACCAACTTTGCTGTTTCCTGTGCTCATCTCAGCCCCTGAAACAAGTTCCCTAAACGTGCAGGAGATCTCATTGCAGCCTGGAACTTCATTGCAAAATTTGGCAGCTACAAGACACCAAACAGAACGTTTGAGGAACCTGTTCTAGTGGGAGGTGTCCTGCCCATGCAGGGGGGTGGGACTAGATGGTCTTTAAGGTCTTTTCCAACTCAAACCAGTCTGGGACTCTATCTCTAGCATATTGAAGTCCATGTGGTTTCTCTAGAAGGTTGAGGGTGAGTGATTAGAGCTTTGCTGAACTGGGACTGCTCCTTCTGTCTTCATTTAGAAAGTGGTATTTACAGCTCACGAGCTTGTGGTTTGACATAATTGATTTCCAAACCCCACAAACCTCTGCTTTAAGCCTCCCTAGTTTCCTTGCTCTCCAGCTGTTCCTTTTAGTATCTGATTCATTTTATCCTCCTGTCTCTCACTGTGCCCAGTAACAGGTTCATCATAACATAAGTGGCAACACTGAAGGAGCCTCCCAGGGAATAAAGAGCAAAGAAAAGGGTTTTTCAGGATGATATTGCTGAAGATAAATGCACCCACATCCGGAGTGTTGTTTTTGTATCAACCCAGCTGAAATTTTAGGCATTAGAAATGATGAAGATCCTTAAAGATATAAAGTCCACTTTGCTACTTGAAAGTTGAGCACAGAGGTTTCTGTAATCACAGAACCACAGGATGGTTTGAGTTGGAAGAGAACTTCAAAGATCATCTGGTTCCAAACTCCCTGCACAGGCATTCTACCCATTCTTTTGCTGTTGTTATTATTACCACTATTACTATTGTTATTATTAAAGTCCCTTAACACACCTGAAAGCCCAAATTTGAATAAATTTCTACCACCATTTCCAGGAGCTGCCTGGCTGAGGCAGGACACTAGAAATACAAGCAATTCTAACAGCAAAACCCCAACATTTTAAAGAGAAACTAAAAATCTCCCCCCAACCAACCCAGCAATGAGCAGGATGCTGTGGAGAAGAAAAAAAATACAATATAAAAGAGCAATAAATTTGTAAAAATTCAGCAAAGAGAAAGACAAGTGGATTTGAACTAACCTTGTTCCCAAAAGAGGAAAAGGAAAGAGAAGTTGTAGGAAGGACTTTGAGCTGTGTTACCTTTTATACTGCATCTCCCATGGCCTGAGGAGCACAGACATCCTTTGTGCATGAAATTACTTACCAATGAGTATGTCCTGCATGCAAAATGATTCCAGCTGATTAAATGTCTTTTCCTCACTGTTCATTACTTTGTTTTCACTCCCTTATCTTCTGACATACATGCAAGTTTCTCTCATCTTCTGGTATTATGGAGGAAATTTATTCCAGTGCCACCTTCCAGTCACAACAAAATTTATGCTCTGGTCTGTGTTTCACTGTAGTCACAAGGAAAAATATGAAGAGGAATTTATACAATACATAATTCATCATTCCAAGGTGCACTTTTATTAAGAATATGAGTGTAAATCTTTAATAAAGTCCATGTTTACAAAGCTCTGACTCCAGCCAAGAGTAAGAATCATCTAGACTGAGCTTCTGTGTTTTGTGAAGGCCCTGCCAAAAAATCCCCAAGCAGAAACACACCTGAAATCCCTCTGAATCTGCTGAGAAAGGATCAGAGCTTTGTGTGAAATTCTGAAAAAAAAATGCTATGATAACAGATCTGGGTAGTATCACCCTGTGACACTTTGGTAACACAGTTTGAGGCTCAGCTGGTGGCACGTGGGGATTTATCAGTTCTCTCATGAAGGGAGCCCAGAACTCCCTTCTGTACCATCTCAGATCACAAATCTAAAGAACACTTCACAAGTCATCTTGAGGATACATAAATTTTAACCTATTTTGAGGTATCACTCTTGGGCAAGTTTCACTGTGGAGCCATTGGGAGGAAAAAATACACCAGGATGTGTTTGCCACTGTTTTTTTTCCTCCAGACAACAGTGATCACACTCCAGACTGATGGAAGCTCATTCCAGAAGTGGAATATATAGAGAGAAAATTGTGATTTCTCTTTTAACTTTGCAGCCTCTCCTGTGCAAGTTGTGGGGTTAGAATCTCTCCTTGGAGAAGAGCTGCTGAATATTGGGCATGAGGATTCAGAAACATGTGCAAAATAAAAGTCTTAGGTTCCTAAAGAGGAAAGATTCTAAAGTCCTTCAAAACTGTCATTAATAATGTGCTTATTCAGAGAATTAAGTTCTCAGACTCTTCAAGGTCTAAACACTCATAATCCACCCAATGGATTATCTTTAAAACCTCAAGTTCATTCTTTGCCAACTACTACAAGCCCACACAGAGGTTTATACCTTCACAAAGTGAAGCCATTTGTATTTGAACAGGCTCCACAAAACCAACTCTGAATCATTATTTAAAAGAAAAAAAAAATAAAAAAAAAATCAACCTTAATACAACTTTTAAACTGCTTCTCTTATTTCAAGACTGTTCTCTAACGTGACCCACTTCAGCTCTTAAAACCTTCCCTTCCTTTCCAGACCCAAACAACACCCCCACATAAACATTTTTAAAATATAAATTCTTGTGTAGAATCAGGTGTTTATTGGAGAATTAATTTCCCTCTAAAACCTGCAACAATATCCACAGAATTTTTCACCACTTCAGTTTGGGTTTCCCTTTCCTCATACAAGGGTTTCTACTTGGTCTATTATTTTATATTTTAAAAACCAACTCATCAGACATCACTGCAGCATTTCAAAAAGACTCCTGACCATGGCTCAGCTCCCAGTTGGTCTGGTTGGCTCCAAGAACTCATTCAAGCTTGAAGCTCTCCTTGGAGATACTGTTTTTATAAGATGGTGAACAAGTTAACAAGCAAGTGTCCTTATGTGGGTCAGGCAGGGAATTATACAAAGACCTTTAATAAACATCTTGGATGTGATTTTAGATGGTGCTCCTGAGACACAACAGGCAACAAATTGCTGAGGAGCTGAAAAAAGACTCTTTAATAGACTGAGCTTGGAGTAATTTCACATTGACACTAACAGAGACAGAATAAAAGTACCAGAAATTAAAAGTGTCCATAAATTGTGAAGATTAAAGAATTTCTAATGGTAGAGTGTGGTTCTCAGGCAATGCCAGGGTGAACCTAGACTGGAAAGTGAAGCAAAACCATTTCATCATCAAGAAAAGGTTCCACCTGTAAAAATGTAGGTGGGAATTAATTCATAACTTACAAAGGGGAAAAGGCTTTCAATCTGATGTCCACATTCTTCAGGAACTGTCTCTTACAGGTAATAAAGTGTTCAGCATCCTGCCCAAGCTCCCCATGGTGCCCCAGGCTGGTGCGTTCCAGGACACTC